GGGGCACAGTGAAGGTACCTCAGGGGCCTTTCGCTTGCCAGGCTTCTGTAGGCACTGCCAGGTGAAGAAAGGACTCTACAGCTAAAATATTTAAACCACTGAATAGCCTAAATGTTGCTCCCCAGAGACATATTTAAGAAAAAATTCTCCCAGATTTGTTCATATGCTACCATTTAGTTCAACCAGGTTACATTTAGAAGTAAATCTTATGGGGACTTTTTCCATGTAAAGTGACACATTTATCCCTCTGTAGGGATGGTCCATGGGAAGCAGTTCCAATTCAGATTCCTGTCACTCTGCTGCTGGGCCTGGTGCTCAGGTCTACAGAGAAAAATATTCTGCTATGTAGAATAAATATAGTTTCAATATTCATCAAAATGGAATGCTACAGTGTATGCCTTATCAATGCTATGTAAAAAGATAATGTGAACTTATTAAGGAATCAAATAAGAATCAGGAAGAAAAACTTCACTGCATAGAGCATGAATACCAAGGGATAGTTTCCTTGAGTTTACAATTTCTTTTTTTTTATATAAAAAAAAATTATTTATTTGAGAGAAGGACAGGGAGAGAGTGCGGCAGGGGGTGGGGGAGGGCAGAGGGAAAGGGAGAAGCAGGCTCCCCGCTGAGGAGGGACACCTATGCGGGACTCGATCCCAGGACCCTGGGGACCATGATCTGAGCCGAAGGCAGACGTTTAGCTGACTGAGCCACCTAGGTGCCCCAAGTTTACAATTTCTGATTGCATGAATATTTTTACATAACCAATTGTGTAACCACAATTACAGCTATTTTTTTTTTTACTTAAGAGTATCATACTTTTCTACATTTCCAAAGAAAGACATTATTTTTTTTAAGATTTTATTTATTTATTTGGCAGAGAGAGACACAGCGAGAGAGGGAACACAAGCAGGGGGAGCGGGAGAGGGAGAAGCAGGCTTCCCGCGGAGCAGGGAGCCCGACGCGGAACTTGATCCCAGAACCTTGGGATCATGACCCGAGCCGAAGGCAGACGCTTAATGACTGAGCCACCCAGGCGCCACCAAAGAAAGACTTTAAAATGTTAATATTAATGGTTACACAAAATATCCTTGCGAAGATTGTGTTAAAGCATTCTCTGGATCAGAGGATGGTAATTAGGATGGGAGTCCCGAAGAGATGGGTTCCTCCATGTGTTGAGGAGCCAAGGCTGGAGTTACTGGATAATGAAGAGAAAAGCAAGGGATCACAGGTACCAAAGCATCCTTTCTCTTCAGATGGCCAGATATGACATGGCTGGTTCAGGGTGGACAAAGTCCGCAGTACCTGGAGGCGGCAAATATTAAAGGGGACTACAAATGTCATTGTCATCTGGTGTGTAGTTTCTTTCTCCATCAGGCTACAAGGGACAGAACAGGAGGACAGTTCTCTGGAAAGGAAGAGGAAGCTAACTAGGCTTAAGCCCTTGCTACCCTATAAGGAAGGTATTTAGCACTGTACTTGGCATATAGTCTATCTTGCTTAACAACATCACAGCCGGAGTGCTAAACAGTGAACTTTATTGTGGTTCTCAGCTCTATTTGCTTCCTATTTTGGTCCTTAGTTACTCAAATTCTTAGAGGCTTATTCCAGGACCTTCGAGGTCAGAAGTCCTTCCATCTTCCGAGTGGGGCTCTTCTCTTTCTAGAAGGATCTTGGTGTTAACTGCTAATCACTATCCCTGGGCTTTCTTAGCAACAACTACTCACTCCTGAGTGGCTGACCTCTTGTCTAGTTAGGACTGGGAATCCTCCTCCCAGGCAACATCTCCACCAGAATCCTTTTTTTCCTCCCCTTCTTCTTGCCTGGTCTGAAATAGGAATGAATTCCTGGCCAGAGTTGGAAAGTGAGGAGACTGAGGGAGGCCAGGGAATGGGTAGTCTTGCCCACCAGATTAAGTGAGTTTGTGTTTTCTTAGGGTTACTCTGTCCCTTTCTTCCTAAGGCAGAGGTGCCTGGTGACAGTTTACATCACACCACTTGCTCCTGACCTGGCTCCCAGCGCCAGCCCAGAATAGGACCTGGAGAGTAGCCTGGCTCCTCTGCCCCTCATGGCTGCTTCTGCTCTTTACGGCTGAGCAAACACACCCACGAGGGGGGCAGTGCATGCCTGCCTCTGCACAGGCTGTGCCCTAAGCAGGGTGTGCCCACAGGAAGGGCATGTCTCTAATCAGTGGGAAGGCAGAGTGTGTGCTTGCTTGGCCCCATGTAGACTCCTTGCTAAGAAAAGTGCATGTGCTTTTAGAGGATACATTAGCATTAGGGGAAAAGTCTGCTTTTTCTTTAAAATTTCCTGGATGAAATCTGTGACCAATTTTAAGAAGGTTATGCTTTAGAGCACTATGTAGGAGGAACATGCACACGTCTTGTTACACGTAGCAGCATTCACTCATGGCGCCCACACAATACTTCCAATTCCAATTTCTCTCCCAAGACGGCAACAATTTTCAGACATTTAAAACACTTATATTTTATACTATGCTTACTACCACCAACTAAAGGTGTAATCAACTGTCAGTAGAAATAGCTAGCGGTAGATAAGTTCAATGTTAATCCTGATTTTACAAATCTACATCATGGCTAAGACAATAGATTAGTGAGTATTAGTGAGTATCCACAAGTGTACATAACAATTAAGAAATTGAAGAACTATGCTTTTATTCCTGCTTCCATACGCTAAAGTCTTCGCTTAATGCTAACGTCAATTCCAGAGTAAGAGAAAGCAGGTTTTTTGCATCTCCCAAGCATACTGCAATTCCACTTTTTGCCATTATCTGTGTTCATGTCTCCAAGGGAAAACAGATTTATTATAAAGTCATTTTGGTGTTTAAGAGAGCAAAGTACCATGGATGTTGTCCAAGAAAGCATGTATCAATTTCCACTGTGCAGCAACGAGTCATCATACATAGAGTTCAAGTGCAGCAACTCGGAGCCCTCATGAACTGAGTGCTGCAAAGGCACCCAGGATGAGGGAACCATCAAAAGAGTTCACTCTCTAAAGTGTCCAAATGCTTCCCTGCCTCCTTCAACAAAGTAGAACAAATATGACTTAATCTTTCCTCAGTGGGACAATGGATTTGAAGCTAAGAGGACTGGCTTTGACTCACTGAGTCAGTATACACTGGGAGAGTGATTTGAGTCATTCCCTGCACCTTCCTGGGCTAGTCATCTTCATGATGGGATCACTGCGTTCTTCAGAGCTGTCTAGAAGATTTGGTCAAACAGCACACATAAAGTACCTAGGGCAGTGCCCTTGCTCTTGCAGAAGATGCTCCATGAAATGTCAGCCTACTTCCTGTCCCTCTGGACACAATCTGAACAGATGAGTTACTGCTGAATGCCACAGGCTTGTTGCTGCTCCGTGGGTATACGCATCAGGAATGGGTCACTGGACAGAATAAATACAGCTCCGGTTCTGGCCCTAGGACTTGCTTTTTTTCTTTTTTTCTTTTTTTTTTAAGCATTCCTGGCTTTCTTTTTAACTCATAAAAGTGGAATGTGAGCATATGACTCCTAAGCAAAGAGATATGGCTGCCTCTCTGTAAACATCTCAAGCAGTTTTCTTACCCTTCAAAAAGTCTCCTTCAGTCCATGTTTCATAAGTCCTTTGTGCCACAGGGATTACATATATATAATTGTGAAAGAAAACACAGGCAATCAAGGCAAACAATAAGACAGCCACTTATATCTGCATGTGAGTTTTACCTCAGCCTCTATAGCATTTTTGCACCCTTCTGTCTACTAATTATTTAAATGTTTTGCAGCCTATAACTTCTGAGCTGAAACCATTCCATTGTTAATGCAGCTAAATACAAAAGCTACTCATGTAGGTAGTTTTATCAAAGAAACACAACATTTACTATTTCATTCCCATTGCACACCAGCAAAGTATGAGCTATGCGTTATCAATAGTACTTTAGAAGTGGGCAAATGCAGGTGTGACCATATTTCAGACATGAAGAGAGAAATCTACACAAGACAGAATTTAGAGCTGGTATCTGTCTTTACATCTATAAACCAAAAAGCAGCCAACACATAATTTACTCACCTCACTAGGAATCAGGTTTGGCAACTCTGAACAATAACTGTCCACCTGAATTTTCTAAGGCATGAAATCTGGCTGGGCTGACCCTGAATTTGTGATCCATTTCCTTTGTATTTCCCTTTGCACCTGCTACTTGATGGATGTTTTTTTCCTTTCTATCCATTATTTTCATTTCAGCTGCCGAGTTGCCTCAATTACTCTATGAAACAGATCTCAAACTCTACTAGCTCTAGAAAAGAAAATGGACAATATCATATAGTTTAAAAAGCCCCTAAAGGGGAAATTCAGTAGAAAAGTGAGCTCCCAACATTCTTCAAGACCCAAATACCACCTTCTCTGTGAAAGGATGTAACTGATGGCCCCAGATGACCATATGCTCCTTTTTGTCTCCACCGTATCTTGTATTCTGCTTCTATTATATCTCCCAACACAATGAGGATGTGTGATTATGTCTATGCCTCTTTCCCCCACCAGGATGTGGGCCCGCCAAGAGAAGAGGCCCTTATTTTAGCATAGAAGACACTAAACTTAAGTCGAATAAAATGGAATTAAAAAACAAAAGTTTATAAAAACTTCTTGGAGCTTTACATTTTTTTAAGCCAATAAAGCCATGATAAGTAATGGAGCTTCAGTAATAACAATTCAAGTTATTTTGCAAACTCTTTCCCATAAGATGGTTCTTTGGGCTGTTTTAAAATTATACCAGCAAGCTACTGAGCTCAGATTAAAATATTATGTTCCCTGGGTCATATTTAAACTCAAATTGTTTTACTTACCTTTTCATCATTTTAGATATAAAATTAAGGAGATGTGAACTTTTTTTTAAACATTAAAATGAATAACAAGAAAAATACCTAAATCTCACGCCTCAAGGATAATCCCCTCTGGCTAGCTGCAGTTCAAACCTTAAGCCTCTCAGATGACATGTGGTACCATACCTGGCCCGTGTATGCAAACTCCAGGGCCTGCTTCAAGCCAAGGCTGGTCACGCCATGTAAATTCACCTCGTCTGCTCCACTTTCCACCATACAGAGACTGAACATTGCCTGAGGTGGGAGAGAACGAGAGATATGGGGAGTTACGCAACTTAAAAAGCAAGAAAATGGAGGAGGAGCAAGATGGCGGAGGAGTAGGAGACCTAAATTCCATCTGGTCCCAGGAATTCAGCTAGATAGGTATCAAACTATTCTTAACACCTATAAACTCAATAGGAGATTGAAGAAAACAATAGCAGCAACTCTCTGAACAGAAAAGTGACCACTTTCTGGAAGGTAGGACATGCGGAGAAGTGAATCCGAGGCGATATCTGGGAAGATAGACTGCAGGGGGAGAGAGCCTCCATCAGCTGCTACCAGCAAGTGATAGAGCTGCGGAGCATAAAATCAGAACTTTTAGAAGTCTACTCTGCTGAGGGACGTTGCTCCAGTGGCTAAGTGGGGGGAGGAAACCTCGCTGGGACAGTGTGGTCTCAGGACCCTCGGGGTCACAGAAAGACCGGGAGTGCCTGAGTGCGGCAGAGCTCCCAGGTATTGGAGCAGGGAAGCCAGCTGCAAAGACCAAGCAGAGAAGTGGGTTCTCAGCTCCGGGTTGCCATAAACCATGATCCGCGGCACAGTCGGGCCACTGCTCTTCCAGCAGGGACCCAACAAGCGGCAGATCCGGGGAGACTCCCCTTCCTCCCCTGGGGAGGAGCAGGGCAGAGCACACCGCAGAAATCTGCTGGGTTTGGAGACTCCAAACGGGGTCGTGTGCCAGAGACAGAAACACTTGAAAGGCTCGCAAATGGGGTCGTGTGCCAGAGATAGAAATGCTCGGTCACAGGCTGGGTGAGCACGGAGTACAGCCAGAGACCAGGGAGAGAGGAGTGATTGACTGCTTTCCTCTGGGGGCTCAATGAAGAGTGGGGCCCCAAATTCTCGGCTCCTCCGGGGCAGAGACTGGGAGGCTGCCATTTTCACTCTTGTCCTCGAAAGCTTGCAGGGAACAAAAGCTCCCAGGAGGAAAACGGAGCAGATTACTTAGCCCGGCCCCTGGCAAGGGCGGGACAATTCCATCTCTGGCAAAGACATTGGAGAACCCCTGTGACAGGCCCCTCCCCCAGAAGATCAGCAAGAACAGCCAGCCACAACCAAGTTTACCAATCAATGAGAACAGCAGAATGCCAGCACTAGGGGAATACAGCACATAGAATTCATGGCTTTTTTTCCCCATGATTCTTTAGTCTTTCAAAGTTAATTTTTTAAATGTTCTTTATTTTTTTCTTTTTCTATTTTTATTTGAATTTTTCATGTTCCCTTTTTCAACCAACATCTTATCAATTCCATGTTTCAAAATCTTTTTTATTTTTCATTTTTAGAGTTATATTCTATCCTTTCATTGTAGTTAACCTTATTCTTTATATATATATATGTATATAAGGTGTTCTCTCTTTAAAACTGTTGGATACAGTTTCTTCGAAAAGACCAAAAATATACCCTAAATCTCTAGTGTATGGCTTTGCTCTAGCCTCCTGGCTGATAACATTCTCTCCCTTTTTTTTTTTTTAATTTCTCTTCTTTCTTTTTTCAACCAACTTCTTATCTTATCAATTCCTTTTATAATATTCATCTTTACAGTCATATTCCATCCCTTCATCATATTTACCCTTATTTTTGTACATATATGTTTTCCTTTCTTTAAAATTTTGGGAGGCAGTTTCTTCTAACAGACCAAAATACACCCAAAATCTAGTGTGTGGCACTGATGTATTCACCAGCCTGATCATATTTGATCATAGTCTTTTTTTTTTCTTTCTTTCTTTCCCTTTCTTTTCCCCCGGGTTTCAGGTCTCTTCTGATTTGTTTAGTGTATATTTTTCTGTGGTCGTTTTTACCTTGTTAGCATTTTGTTCTCTCATTCATCTATTCTCCTCTGGACAAAATGACAAGATGGAAAAACTCACCTCAAAAAAAAGAACAAGAGGAGTACCGACTGCCAGGACCTAATCAATACAGACGTTAGTAAGATGTCGGAACTAGAGTTCAGAATGACGATTTTAAAGATACTAGCTGGGCTTGTAAAAAGCATGGAAGATACTAGAGAATCCCTTTCTGGAGAAATAAAAGAACTAAAATCTAACCAAGTCGAAATCAAAAAGGCTATTAATGAGGTGCAATAAAAAATGGAGGCACTAACTGCTAGGATAAATGAGGCAGAAGAGGAAATTAGTGATATAGAAGACCAAATGATGGAGAATAAAGAAGCTGAGAAAAAGAGATAAACAGCTACTGGATCACAAGGGCAGAATTCGAGAGATAAGTGATACCATAAGACAAAACAATATTAGAATAATTGGGATCCCAGAAGAAGAAGAAAGAAAGAGAGGGGCAGAAGGTATATTGGAGCAAATTATAGCAGAGAACTTCCCTAATTTGGGGAAGGAAACAGGCATCAAAATCCAGGAGGCACAGAGAACCCCCTCAAAATCAATAAAAATAGGTCAACAATCCAACATCTAATAGCAAAACTTACAAGTCTCAGAGACAAATAGAAAATCCAGAAAGCAGCTCAGGACAAGAGGTCTGCAACCTACAATGGTAGAAACATTAGATTGGCAGCAGACCTATCCACAGTGGCCTGGCAAGGCAGAAAGGACTGGCATGATATCTTCAGAGCACTAAATGAGAAAAACATGCAGCCAAGAGTACTATATCCAGCTAGGCTGTCATTGAAAATAGAAGGAGAGATAAAAAGCTTCCAGGACAAACAAACAAAAACTAAAAGAATTTGCAAACACCAAACCAGCCCTACAAGAAATATTGAAAGGGGTCCTCTAAGCAAAGAGAGAACCTAAAAGTAACATAGACCAGAAAGGAATAGAGACAATATACAGTAACAGTCACCTTACAGGCAATACAATGGCACTAAACACATATCTTTCAATAGTTACCCTGAATGTAAATGGGCTAAATGCCCCAATCAAAGGACACAGGCTATCAGATTGGATAAAAAAACAAGACCCATTGACATGCTTTCTGAAAGAGACTTGTTTTAGACCCAACGACACCTCCAGATTGAAAGTGAGGGGGTGGAAAACCATATACCATGTAATGGACAGCAAAAGAAAGCTGGGGTGGCAATCCCTATATCAGACAAATTAGATTTTAAACCAAAGACTATAAAATAGATGAGGAAGGACACTATATCCTACTTAAAGGGTCTATCCAACAAGAAGATCTAACTATTTTAAATATCTATGCCCCTAACATGGGAGCAGGCAATTATATAAGGCAATTAATAACAAAATCAAAGCAACACATTGACAACAATACAATAATAGTAGGGCACTTTAACACCCTCCCTCAGTGAAATGGACAAATCATCTAAGCAAAAGATCAACAAGGAAATAAAGGCTTTAAATGACACACTGGACCAAATGGACTTCACAGATATATTCAGAACATTCCATCCCAAAGCAACAGAATACACATTCTTCTCTAGTGCCCATGGAA